TTGCATGGCCTCAAACAGGGGTGAAACAATGAGAAGTAGAAGGATATGTGCGACGAGGTTTTTGTCAATAGCTTCCAGGTCCTAGCAAACACACCAATGAGTTAGAAGAGGGCGGAAAGGAAGACCTACGAGTATGGGCCGTGCCTTCAGCTTTGGCAGCCACCAAACGGTCCTGTAGAGGTTTAAGTGTTGCATCAGCATTGCAACCAGACAAAATGTCAGTCTGAAAAAGTGAAAGCTGATGCATCCGGCGTATGGAACGGGTGGAAGAGTGATATGTCTTACTGGGTCCAACTGTTTTGCCTCCGCAGCCCTGAAATTTAAAAATAACCGAGGATAAAGAATGAAAAGACAATGCGTTCACACTGAAGACACGTAAGGGCTGCCTCATGCCGACAAAGACGTCTTTACCACTTCCCTCCTTCGAGCGAAAAGCTCTGTGTCAACTCTACAGCAAAAAACGTTCTGGCATGACTGAGCATTTATGCACTTTTTATTGTCCAATCTACAGAAAATTCTCGAGTGCTGAAACCCTTAGAAGCAGAGACTTCTTAAACCGAACGGCTGATGTAGGTCGAGCGAATGTAAAGTTGCAGCAACCAATGATAGTCTAATTGCTCTAAAGGTGCGCGGGTACCGGGTATTCGTCCTGTCGGTCTTCCTCTACGATTTTGAACGCTGGGTTATGTGTGTGGAAAACAGGCAAAAACTGGAGGTCCTCAACCACAGCTGTCTAAGAACGATCCTTTGAGTGAATTATACCGAATCTGTCTTGAGTGAGGCAGTCTGCACTCACTACAAAATCATTAAGACGGGTTCAGGCCGTCAAATAAAGGTGAGTAAGGTTGGTTAGGCGCCTTCTTCGTCGTCGCCTAACTAGAGATGGCAAGGAGTTCGGCTCGAAATTCGGCACCACAAAGCCCGTCAAGATACAGACCGATTTACGGACCCTCGGTATTCAGTCCTCGTGGCTGCGGATTAAAATGTCTTAAGCTCTAAAGATTCACTGTTGCTGATCTTCCAGTATGCAGAGACGCTATCCGTGACATCATCTGCGTCAGCTAGATCAGGCGTTGTCGTCATCGTAGCAAGAATAAGTGAACACTATGTAGTAGCCGCTTGTCAAAAAAACGTAACTTGTCACACGAGAAAACAGTGCCAAAACAATTAGATGGACAAAGCGGTCACCCAGGCTAAGTTCCCCGAAACAAATCCAACAGGAAATAGCGATCACCAGAGTTCAAGATTGACCCTTCAAAAACCTACTAACAAGGGTAAGTTACCGCACAGTGAACTGCTCTTCATAGTACGGTCGGAAAACTCATTCTCAACAGAACCGCTTATATATGCTTGAGTAATTGTGCAACGAAAGAGTTGCGAAAGCAACCGACATTGCCAATCAACCTTGAAAATAACTGAGGCGCGATCAGATGTGGCAGTAGTTTTAGATTCGCCAGAAAAATAAACAGTTCATACCTCATTTCCTTTGGAAGAGTATATTTGAACGAGTATGCCCACAGTCGTCCATTTGGCTCATCCGATTAGACCCGTCAGTCTGGGGGGACAGCGGTGGCTTGCGTGTGTATTTGTCCATATTTACGGATACTTAGTGTCGATCTCACTGTCTATTACTACACTCAGACAGTCATGACAACTAAATATAGTGTGGGTATAGTCGTTGATGAAGCTAAACCACCACCTTAGGTGTCACATACGTCTTGGTCCCTACAAGTGCATCTTCGTAAGTAGTTGTAATAACGGCCACACTCAAAAGACTTCAATGTAGTCTGATCCCAAATCTGGTGAATTCCTGAGTTATTAAAACATCTGGTAGTCTTAAAAGTCACGACTGTTGGTGCGTTATCATGGTTTAAAAGGCCTTGGGCCTATTATAATGGAAAAGGGTCTTGATACGAAGCGAATCGACCTAACTTTCTCTCCCCTCTTCCAAACCAGTGACAAGTCGGCGTCAAGCTGACTTAACCAGTTGGATGCGGGAGCTAAGTTTGCATAAATTCCTCAACCAACGTGTCCCCCGCGTTTGTGGTCCACATTTGGAATTAAGGCAGAACACACCCCACAAAACATATACTGCAAGTCTACGTAGTCTTAGTTTTGGTCTAACACAAAAACGTTTTGAGGGGTTGGAAATATACATATAATGAGAAGGATTATTCGAGGCCCTAGCTTGCAGGTACCTTAATCACAACAGTTATTCTAAGGATTAGTTAATTCTATCCATCTGTCACTTCGAAGGATGCCGGCTTTATTGTGATCAAACTGGATTTCGACCAAACAATCTGGTGACCACGGAGTCTAGAAACAAGGACAATCAACGAGTTGATGGTGTCGCAGACCGGTCTCGCTTTCGCCAGCCAAATATCCTCCAAGCGATGCCTGGGAACCAGACAAGGAACTCATACCCATTTGGAGGGGTTTTCAAAACCTTAACATTCTTTAAGAAACTTGTGTTCAACCAAGCACTACTGTTTTTGCTTATTAGGAAGGCATCTACGCGAACACGGTAGTGTAGGAGGGCGTCAGTGAGATAGGGAAAGTCTATAATTTGGGTTAACGTTGATTAAGTATCGATGTAAGTGGTGAACGGGGGATAAGCGCGAGGACCGATGTTTCACAGTTGCTGCATCGAACGTTTCCTTCTCTGTACCTCACGTAGAAGCCACAAACACTGCAGAGGTGAACGAATGGGTGTGGTTTGTACGTTGTTAGAGTTTTGTGGACGGCAGATGACTTGCGTTCGGTGGTGATGACCTAGCGGTCAACAGAGCAGTATGTTATGTAGGCAGAGCTCAGTCGAAACCATAACCAAATTCAATACACCGAGTGGGTTGACGCAATAAGTGAGGCCTTGGTGTCATTTTCAGACAGTTGTTCTTAGGGAAATCACGCAGAGCACGCACGCGTCAGGGTACAAGAAATGATACAGATGCCAGTACACATTGGTCCATGCCAGGTAGACTCCTCTAATGTGAGAGGGGGGTACTCGTAACCACATGCTAAGTGGACTCTGCTCTAATGACTCATTTTCAGTAAACCGCCGACTTCATTGTGGTATTCGGGATGATTCGGATGGTGACCACTTCATAATCGGCTAAGGAGAACTTGCTTGGCCCCTGAGAACGCTTTCTGAGCATACCTTTTGACACTTTTCTACGTTTTCCTAGGGCTCTTCGTGTGCGATATTAGGGGGTTGTGGTGTCTCGGTCACCCGCTTCGGCAGTAGCATATTACCAACTGGTTCCCTCTTGTGGTTGTAAGATTCTTCGTCCCAACCGGACCACCAATCACATGCGCCTGACAGTCTCGACCAAACTATGAATACGGTTCAACTTTTGGTCTCAACGCTTCGCCTATGATACAGTGATAGTGGAACAAGTTCTACAAGCAACTGATGTCGTTCGTAGCTCAAATATCTGATGGTCGACGGCATTCCAAGGATCTACTCCACCTTTCAACAGCCATCTTTGGGATTCGTCACAGAATACCCAAAGGCGCCTGTGCTGTTGGTTATCATCCTCCTTTTGTGGCCTATCCAAGCCTTACATTCTTGGGCTTTCCTGCGAGTTGTACACGTCTTTCGTGTAAGGAGGCAATACCTCAAAGCAACAAATTGGATGGCGAAATAATCTGCCAGAGCATATAGTTACGGCACCTAAATGTTTCCTCTTTAGGAAGTGAATTTATTCCATGCGAATTTCGACTTATTTGGCATGGAATAAATATTCATGATGCCAATCAGTGATGGCTCCCAATACTGCGTATTATGAACATGCTAATATCTGTCCCAGCATGCATCTAAAATAATATTCTCCCATTTCCTACTGCCGTTCCAACGCTCAGTCGGCGCGCTTCCCATAAGCAAGGTAGACAAACCTTACCTCCATCATTTTTGTGAACTCTTGATTTCCTCCTACATTATTATTTATTTATTTCCGTTGTTGCTGTGCTACAGTTGTCTGTTTGTTCCTCTGATTTATTTAAGACCAATGTTTGTTCGTGTCTGCGTCTCTATGGTACAATTTTGCCTATGCACTGTTGAGTTTTTTGACAGGAAACGAACTTTACGATAACCGGGACTTAATATCTCGAAATCTATAGTTTACTATACTAAACTGCCGCTGAGACAGCGGCGTTCAAATACCTTTACTAGTTCATCTGAAATCGGGCACTTACAAAGGTTGCCGGGAACTCAAAGCCAATCTAACGAGGTAGTAAGAAGAACAAGCATGTTTCGTAAATTTCGCAGGAATAAATAGCAATCTCCCAGAGTAACAGGAAGGCGTTTTCGGTAGAAAAACAACTATTATGCAGATGGAGCTTATCTCTCATTTCCACTATAAAGTATAACACCAAATAGGAGCCATAAAACGATAATATTTCAGAAACGAAAAATAAGAAACCGACTCACTTCTGCTGAGGCTGGGCCGTTCCTCGGTGAGACGGCCGTTTTGGTCCACCCATGACGACTCTGACAGATTAACATGCAAAAGCACATACCTAAGGCCGATCTTCAAGGAGGGCAAAGGTTCAAGAAACTATGCCATCTATTCATGAGCCCAGGTTTCAATGAAAATATTTAGTCGAATAATACAGCTCGTGACCTATTAGAATATTCCAGAGCGCAGAATAGGAACTTGACGTTATAAGGTCTCGTTGAAGACGAGCAAGTAGACTGAACCGACAAAACGAACTAATCGGCCGTAACCAAAAGCTGTTAAGTATTCTGTTGAGTTTCTACCAGAACCTGAACAAGTATAGAAGTCGAGCCAGAAAAATTAAGTTTCCAGCTGAAGACTACGAAATGTGCTTGAGATGGAATGTTTACTGTACAGACCGCCTCTGTTAATCGAATCGCGTAAGACGAACGATACCACCCCGGCTGCCATATGCAAACAACACGTATGGTAGGACAGCTGTGCTAATAATAGTGTGTAAATTTGATGTTTTTTAACATATATGTCGCTGCTTTCGCCGGTACGATGAACAGAAAATCCCATGCCGACAAGAGTACGTATGACGGACCTCGCATGAGTGCTTTTTAAACACCTCAATCCTTCCGTCTTTGTCACTCCCACCAAAGTGGAATCTAACAACCATGGTTCCAGAGTTGCCGAAACGTACGCACATGGAGTCTCTAGGACAACTAATCACACGCGCCGACAAATTCTGCAATCACTCAATCAGCTGGCCGAGCTGACACTGGCCGACTCCCACGTGACATTTACTCATTCCCACGCACACTGCCATAGCAGACGGGCGTGCCCACGCTCAGAGCCGCGCTGTAGTTAGGGCTCTGACCATCACCAATCTTCTGTACAAAAAACGCCAATCGAGCCGATGCTTCTCCCCTTCTCCCTCAAAACATTACTGGATCATTATTATCGTGACAACCTGCGTACCACTCATCACTTAGAATCTACCCCGACAATGTGCTTGTAATGTTGTAACGGTCTTTCACACCATCTGCTGTGTCTTCTTCGGATACCACTCCAAGTAGAAATACACTGCAAAGACTGGTAGTTATAATGACTTTGCATTTTATCTCTAGTGTAATGGCGGTGGTGATTTTTGTTGCTTCTGCGGTAGCAGTAGTAGTAGTAGTAGTAGTAGTAGTAGTAGTAGTAGTAGTAGTAGTAGTAGTAGTAGTAGTAGTAGTAGTAGTAGTAGTAGTAGTAGTAATAGTAGTAGTAGATAACAAGGATAACAAACAGCTCACTTGGAGAAGACCCTATCTTTTGTATGAAGTACAAAATTTGTACGAAAACCAGTGGTTTTCCTTGTTTGTGTGGGCTTGTAATGACTAGCCAAGTCATGACTGTCCTAGACCTAGACGCACGCATCCCGATGATGTCGAGTAACTCTATGGACTGCGCTTCATCGGCGCGGTTATTCATATCAGTCAGCTACGTACTAGTAATGTTTGAGGAAGTTTGGATGGGTAAATTACACCAATGGAAAAACTGTCATTTCTTGACATTTGAACGAATGGATGCTTGGGTTTTTATGATGGCAAACGAGGTCTGTGTAATTGTTGCATGTTCTCTTGTTGCGCTGTTTCTGGATTTTCAATATCTGAAAATGGCATCTAGAGAATTTGAAAGGTTTGATGTGTCTATTTAATGGAACGAGTCAAAAGACGAAATGCTCTTTTATGTTCTGTAGTAATGTGTTGGGAATTTTTACAGTGAACATAAGGCAGAAATTGACGGCTGAAACATTTAGTAGGATAATCACCGTACATACATCAGTTCCTCAATTCTAATGTCCAGGGTCCCACACTTAAGGTCCCGAGATTATTTGGTTGTCATGTTTCACTGCTTGACCTCTGGCGCCAGTGTAAACAGGCTTCTTGCGAGGTTCCGGTACCGAAACATCGCGTATTGCCTGGTGGTGTGTCAACTGTTGATTTATGTACGCGTAAGACTGATTTGCGGCAGGTCGGTCCCCAGTACTACGTGAAAACTTGATAATAGAAACAATGCATCGACACAGGGACATTTTAGAATGTCTAAGTAAACGCTTTTGGTGTGTTGTTCCCGGAAGCTTCAGATAAATTGGGTGTCCCAAAGTAATGGGTACTGGGGTTCAAACACATTCGCCCGAAATTCAACCACAAAATCTTGAGGGCTGTCGTACATCATTTTTGATTAATGACTGGTGCATAAAGCCTGTTTATGGGCGCTAACAGGACTCAAAGAACCCCCTCTCATCCTGCGACAAATCATACAAAAATGCAATCTAATGTGTGGTGATTCATCAACTGATACCAACGGATGATTTGGACTCTCCGTGCGGCACGTTGGGCGTCATCCGTGTGATTTTAACAGGAGTACTAGAATGGTAGGGGTGCAAGGACGTAAGGGTGTAAGGGTGCCCAATTTTACGTTTACGTGATGGTCATAGCAGGCAGCACACTTGCTTGCAAACGTTGACTACGCCTAGCGTCCATTAACTGGCACCCAACTCTCGGGTGGGATTTCACGAAGCTAGGTCCTTCTTACCGGCCACATCCCCGTAACCGCCTCGACCAGCGGACTAAGCCATGTTACGTTATCAGCGTTGTGTGTACCCCTAAGCCCACTGACGCTACTTCCCCTCTCATCCCTCCTAGCGTTCCCATCCCACTACCCCCACTTCAAAGTCCTATGGAGAAGGCGAGTTCCACCGCAGGTTGGACGCCAACTACCTCGTCATCCCCAAGAAGAGGCTCCGTCTGTAACCCGTAGGAGGCCGCAAAGTAAGTTATCACCTGTAAGTCAAATACCGTTTTGTCGAATTTGGCTGCTCACGGTTTACATTTCTACAATAAGTTAGCTGAAAGATGGAAAGGGTCTTCGTGTTGTGTCCCCATACCCGATATGACTACCCCTTGCCCAAACCCCTCCCTCATCTCCCCTCCTTCTTTCCCTCCCCCTCCCCCTCCACACACCTTCTTATAATGCTTTCTCTTCTCTCCATTATATTCTCTTCCCCCACCATCGAAAAGTCCTTTGGCGAGTGTGACATGTAATCACGTAGATGGCACGGGTTAATCGGGTCGTTCTCCTGCTCGACCAATCTGTGATCCATGGTTGAGTTCAGCTGCCATCTGGGACGACTTAGCAGCCCTCTTTAGGGACTGCGCCGCTTACCTCCTCGTGGAGGAAGGGCTTGAAAAGGTTTCCCAAACGAATGTTGGGTTCACGATACCTGTGCACAGACCGTTTTTCGAAGACTGCAATACGTGCGGCTTAAACACTCAAAACTACAGTAACAAGCCCTGTCCCCACTTCCATTGCACCACCCTTTAGATTGCTAGAGCGGGCCGGCTTGCTTTGGCAGCCCGGAATTTTCGTTCCCTTTTAGACAATCCGGTGAGCAACCGGCCGGAACTAAAGACGACGTTTGTCGCTCGGGAACTGTTGCGTTATAAGGTGGCATCAAAGCACTCAGCGAGACCCATTTCTCCGAACAAGGCCAACTGGAAGAGGTGGGTGACGGTGAGCCGCATGTCTTTTCTGCCAGCGGGCATCGATGGTCGCCTGCCTCTTCGATGAGACAATATTGCCACCATTTTCAGCGTCTACGTCTCCTCTGATGGCCAGCTTTAGTGCGGAAATAACAAATTCTACGAGGACCTGCACGGCCTTCTGTCGACTGTGCTAAAGGCAGATAAGTTAATTGTCCTTGGTGACTACAACGCCCTCATCGGCATAAACCATGCTGCCCAGAGACGAGTGCTGAATCTCCATGGTTTTGACGGTTCCAATGGCAATGGCCTGCTCCTACTAACCTGCGAAACACACCGCTTCATCCTGACCAACGCCTTCTTCCGCCCCCCGATGCGAGAGAAGGCCATCTGGATGCACCTTCGGTTGCGAAACTGGCACCTGCTGGACTACGTCCTTGTCCGGAGGCGAGACCAGCGGGGCTGGCTGGTGACAAAGGCGATTCCGGGAGCCAACGAGTGGACTCACTATCGTTTCGTCATCTCCAAGATGCGGATTCCTCTGCAGCCTCGCGAGAGACCTCAAGGCATGCGACCACCGGTCAAGATGAATACTCTCTTGTCGGATGTCCCTGCTCACCATTTCCCTTTCAGCAACGAGTGGACTCAGCGACTGGCCAACTTTCCAGTCGCCGTCGATATGGACGCCTTCGTGGAGAAACGATTGTGCCAAATGAAGGACACAGTACAGTCGACCGCCCCGGACGTCTTCGCCCACACACGTTGTCAGCACCAGGGCTGGTTCAACGACAGCGACGCAGCCATCAGCAATCTGCTTGCCGAGGATAACCGACCGCACAAAGCCTACATCGACCGCTCTACTGAGGACAACAAACCAGCCTTCTACCGAGTTCACCGCCTTGTGAAACGATGACTACGGAAGACTCAACACGCCTGGATGGCTTTCAAGGCCGAAGAGATCTAAGGGCACGCGGACCGCATCGAATGGGAGAATTTCTTCGCCGCGATCAAGGCTATCTATGGTCTCCCGGCTAAGCGGACTGCTTCTCTTCCGAGCGTCGGCGGAACTACCCTACTCACTGGGAAGAGGCAAATTCTGAAGCCATGGGCCGAACACTTCAGAGATATCAGCAACCATTCCGTATGCCCCAAGTAGAGACCAACGCCGATCTCTACCTCCCGCCCTCTCTCCATGAAACCATCAGGGCAATGTATCAACGCTCGAAAGGGAAAGCCCCGGATCAGACGAGAGCCCTGCCGATATTTACAAGCACGACAGCTCCCAACCTATGAATCCCCTAATAACTCGCTCCCAGCAGACGTGGCGCCTAGAAAAATCCCTCAAGATTTCAAGGACGCCACAATCGCCAACCTCCACAAGAAAAAAGCGAACCACTAATCCTGCCACAATCACAGGAGGATCGCGCTTCTGAACATCACCGGGAAAATCTTCGCACGCGTCCTCCTCAATCGCCTCAACGGCCATATGGAGCAGGAACTCCTGCCGGAAAGCCAATGAGGCTTTCGTTATCATCGAGACACCACCGACATGATATTTGCCGTCAACTAGCTGCAAGAGAGGTGTCAGAAGATGAGGACCCACCTCTACTCCACTTTTGTGGATGTGATGAAAGCATTCGACACGGCGAATCACGAAAAACTATGGAAAACCATGCAGGCATTCGGCTGTCCCGATCGATTCCCTCAGATGGTGCGTCAGCTCCAGGGTGACATTACGGCGCGCGTCACGGTCAATGGAACCGTCTCAGAGGCGTTCGCAGTGACCAACGGAGTGACGCAGGGCCGCTTCTTCGCGTCTACCCTCTTAAGTCGCATGTTACCTCTCATGTTAATGAACGTACTCTGTGATGAATGCCCCTGGGTATGTGTCACCTACAGAACGGACAGCCAACTCTTTAGTCTCCGGTGGATTCACTTCCAGTCGCATGCGTCCACACGTACTGTCCACGAACTTCTCTTCGCCGACGATTGAACTCTCAGCGCAACTACAGGAGGGGACATTCGAAGGAACATGGACATCTTCATTGCCGCCTGCGACGACTCTGACCTGACCACCAACACGGAGAAAAAGGTACTCATGGACATGCCGCCACCCAACGCTGCCTACAATGACCGCACATCAATGTCAACAGCGCCCAGGTGCAAGCCGTGGACACCGTCACCTACCCGAGCAGCACCCTCTCTCGCAGCACCAAAATCGATGACGAAGTGGCCTCCGGATCTCCAAAGTTAGCCAAGCCCTCGGTCGCCTGCATAAAATCATCTGGAATTGCCACTGTCTTTACCTCACCACAAAGCTCAAGATATACAAAACCGTCATCAGGACAACGCTGCTATACGGAATGGCGACCTGGGCGGTATACGAGAAGCAGGCCCGTAAGCGCAATCACGTCAACCTCAGCTGTCTTCGGTGGATACTAAAGCCGAGGTGCGCCGACCAGATCTCGGACATGGACGTACTGGAGCAGACGGGAATCCTCAGTATCTATGCCATGCCGAGACAACTGTAACTGCGAGTGGACGACCAACTCGTGAGGATGAAGGAGGAACAGCTACCCAAGCGACTCTTCTACGAAGACGTCGCCAGGGATTCTCGTCAATGAGGAGCTCAAATCCTATGCTATACGGACACTCTAAAGACTTCGCTGAAGCGCCTGCAGATCAACCCGGCCAAATGAGACGACCTCGCCTGCAACCGACGGGCCTGAAGGAGGGCAGTGAAAACAGGAGCATTGATCTACTAAAACAACCGCGTAACCGCCGTCAAAGCCAAACTCGCAGCTCAAAAATTCCAACTGCGCCCGTCACGCAACGCCAGTACTCAACCGCCCCAACATTCCCCAGGTGTCAGCGAACATTTCGGGCACGAATCGGTCGCATTGGACGTGTCCGGACCAAGTGCAGCGCCCAGACGACACCAGCTGATGCCTTCCCGTCTACCTGTGCTCCGTCCCCCGTGTCGAAAAATTGCCCTACGGTGCTTCCGACTCCCGTCGTCATCCTCTACCACTATTCCCGCTTCAATATATATTGCGACGGCTCCTGCCCCCACCACCAATGAAGACAATTTTGAGGTACCGTCAAACCTCAACCTCATTGCAGCCAACACCAATGATGAGGACTCGGCCCCAACTTTTTCACACTGCCACTGTCATTGTACCTTCACCTCACACATTGGCCTGGTCGGTCACCTGCTAATATATGGCACAGAGACTGACAAATTAGTGCCTGGGGCACCACCTGGAAGCCTGTGTTCAAACTACACCTTCCCCCGCCAGCACCTACGACACACATCAACATCGCCCACCACCACACAACGCAAATACGCGTACGTAAGTGGGAAGTGTGCTGTTCGGCTCCCTTCCCATGTGCCTCAGCTGCTGCATGCATGATCCGAACCTTGAACTACCATGGTGTGCCAAGCGCCGTGACTTGGAAGGCTGTCCACTGAAGCGTCAACCCAGTCCACGTAGTCGCTCCAGTTGAGTGTTCATATGGAATAGCGGACTGCTAGGCGGGAGCTAGGCTTCAATGGCTCCTTTTTAACGTGACGTAATTTTCTGGCACTCTCACTCATGTGAGATGCAGGCCGAACATCCCCTTACTGTGCGACACCCTAGTGCTTGTGTTCGAAGTGCCGGGTCGAGCATGTGGGGCGCGGAGAGGTCACTAAATATATCAGTCATTGCTCCCATTTCCCGCACCAAAAAATGACCGACTCGGACAGTGACTGGGGCCCGGGAATGGAAAGAAAAAATGATGTCGACGACTTAGCGCATTTCTCCTACTATCAACAACCTGATGCGCTTGAAGCCATCACGGTGCGCTAAAGGCCGTGGTTTGGAATGTTGCCAGTTGATGAGAAACCTGTATATCACACTCGACTCAGTGTGTGTGTGTGTGTTCATGTTGTGTGGCCGACTCGAGGTCTGAGAGTCAGGCTGCACTGGCTCCTTTTTAATGTAGCTTTTATGGTACTCCCACGTAGTGCGATTAGAGCGGGATGTGGCGGCACGCCAATGGGCGGCTCCGGTCATCTGCACTTTCTTCCACCTCCGGCCTTTTTAACTGCGTCTTGATACCACACCCAGGGGGAAGGATGAGGGAGTGCCTTATACCCCGAACAATTCTGCTCCCACTTCAAACAAATTCACGCGCAAGTCACTGTGCCTGCCTCTACCCTATTATGGGACACGTGGTGGACATCGTTGGCAACGACGGATGGACATCCACCAGAATGCTTCTGCAAATACAACTTGGAGGTAGCTGGATATCGTTTAGAAATTACTTCATCGGATCGATGACATATTCGGAATTCGTTGTTTGCTTGTGGGTCCGAGGAAAGCTGGAAGGCAGACATACCTGCAATTGTCTTCGATCTTTAAAAAAATTAATAGAACTCTACCTGGCCTAGGGCCTTCCGCAAACTCATCGAACCATTAAATAACGCATGTATGTGAACATGCATGTTTCAATCCTCTGCGGAACAGAAGTAACATTGATGAGTTAATGCCAACGAAATTTGATGTCGAAATTATTTAGGTGGTTATTTCTGTTGCGATTATTGCATTTGCTAGTGGTTGTGAAGTATGCTTTTAAGAAGCATCACATAGTTCCCCTGCTATCTGCAGACTCCAGTGTTACTCCCGCTTTGGTCTTTCATTACGAAAAATACTTTTGTTAAGTAGCCGTCCTTTGAACCATTTGTGTCGTTTTTGTTTGTTCCTGTTGCCACCTTCCGAATATCAGAAATCAAATTTTTATTTTTACTCGCTTAGCCACTGACAGTCCGAGGCCAAACTGCCTATCACTACTGTCTTTGAACGGCCTGCTTTGGGTAGCCCATTAGTGGTTGCTACTAACCGGCAATTAACGAATGATCACACTGCAGAAACGAAAGTACTGTATTTACGGGGCGTTTGTGCGTTGTCGTAATCGGGAACCCACGTTCTGGTTGTACTGCATTTGGCCGAGCGTTGCCCAGCCTTACACTGGCGAATGTACCCTGCTGCACATGCACTACGTCAATTATCATGCACTAAGATATGGCATAGGCGACGCCAACTGGAGCCTGGTAGTACAGACACAAATATGGTGGTAGGAAGTGCCTGTGAATGGTACACTGACAGTCCCCAAAGAACGCATTAGTGGACGTAGTGGATACTTTGACCTCGCCTCGTCGCGGCACCCGGCCTTCCTGTGTGGATTCACAAAGCCGGGCTTAGCAGCAGCGGTCGCACTCCGTAGTCGACCTTGCCCGGTTGACTGAACTACAGGAAACTGCCCGGTGTGTGCTTAATGTGTGTTTTTCTATCCGTTAATCCCCAAAATAATCTCTAAAGTCAACCCCCACCCCCTAAACAAGACGACCTTCAATCCCCTATTCGGCCTAGGCTATCTCGGGCCGCCCTCCCACTAAACAAAAGTTGTGACCTATGGTGGAATTCCATGGTCGCCAATGATGACTTATCGGCCTTATTTAAGGGTAGGAAGGGCTTAAAACGTGCCCTAAAAATTGTTGGTAAAATGCATCGTAAGCAAGATGATGGTGCTTCGTGGACGTACAAAATACGACCGAAACACCACGGGAAGCAATAACCCTGTCCTCGTCCCCTGCCACCCCACAGGCTGCCAGACTGAGCAGTGTCACTTTGGTAACCTGGAACGCCCGTCTTCTTTCAGACAGTCCGATGGCAAACCGTCCAGAAGGAATGACAGTTCTGGTCGCCTCCTACTTGACCCTCTACATAAAGGATATTGCGGTTCTCAATGAGACCTGCTTATCCAAACATGGACAACTGAAGGAGGTGGAAGTCGGATACACCTTCTGGAGCGGACATCCAAGACGTAGCGACAAGAGTGCTGAGTCGCCTTCGCCATCAGGAGCAACATAATGAGGCGACGGTCCTGCTTGCCGCAGAGAGTCAATGACCGCCTCACGACCATGAGGCGCCACTCTGAGGGAACAAATAAGTCACTATCCTCAGCGCCTATGTAATTCACAAACGCGAGGACTTTAAAAAAGACTACACGAAGACCCATACGCCCTCATATCAACTGTGATGAAGCCACACAAACTGGGTATCATTAGTGACTTCAATGACCGCGTCAGCACAGACCATCTTACCGAGGAGAGACTTTTCGGTCCCCAAGGGATCAGCAATTGTATCAGCAATGACCTTTTTCCTGTCTGGTCTTGTGCGGAACAAAGTCTACTCCTAATCAACACCCTCCGTCTTCGATGCGGAAAAATGCGACGTGAACGACCCTCTCTCTCGCGTCACTACCGTCCGCTGAACCACGTCCTAGTTCGGAGACGTGACCAGCGTGACGTGCCTGTGATTAAGCTGGTGTGCGGTATCCAATGGTAGACGGCCTACCGCCCTATCGTCTTGAGGATGAGGCTCTGAATGCAACCGCGCCGACGACGGCGATGTACAGTAAGTGGGCTAACTCGTGAAATGTCAACCGCAATTCCGAAATGCGTTTTCGCTTCGAACGGATTGATTAAGTGGGGTTGTTAAACTAGTCAGCCTGAATCATAATTCTATAATAATGCAGTTATCTCGGGATGACGGCTTTCGAATGAACTTCCTTCCGGTTGCATGCAAAAATTACACTCCGTAAAAGTCGGCTACTTAAGTAGCATGAATTTTTCTCATTCATTTTCAATGCCCTAAATGTCCAATTATATTTCATGGAAAAAATGCAAAAAAATATTCATTCTTTTGCTCCTTCGGCAGGAAATTACGTCTTCTTCCAATCTTATACTCGAAAGAAGGGTATTATTCGGTTTTCAAAAACTTTTTTAATCCCCAAATAATTTTGAACCCGCTCTACCGTTACACTTTGATTCAGGGTTTCCAAACTACAAGCCGTATATTTTCCGCGTACGAAAAACCACAAACTTCTCTACGGTAATAAAGGGGGACCATATAGGGTTCATAAAATTTGGCAGTGAATTTGATCCATATTGTTAACTTTAAAAGCCACATTGGTAAATGCAGATACACGACGTTTTAAGAACGGCCATTTCACAGTATTTAAACGTCCCACAATTAGAAACTTTTTCAAAAACGAATCATGTCCCTCCTTCGATTATAAAATTAGAAAACGTAATTTTCTACCGAATGAGGGAAAGAATGAATATTTTTGTGCATGTTTTCCATGAAATATAATCGGACTTTTAGGGGCATTGAAAACGTATTAGAAAAATCCATGCTACTTAAGTAGTCATTTTTGCAGAGTGTAGCTTTCGAGTGCAGTCGGAAGGAAGTTCATTCGAAAGCCGGCATCCTGAGGTAATTAAAATATTATGGAATTATGTTGCAGGCTGACTAGTTTTACAACCCTGCTTAATTAATCTTTTCGAAACGAAAACACACTTCGGAATTTCGGTGGACATTTCATGAGTTAGCCCACCTACTGTACATATATACCTTGCCAGTTACTCCTACACAGTTTATACTGCCGTAAATCTACCTTTTAAACACCCTCCTACACTTTTCATCAAGTATCCTTAGTGGCGTATGACGGTATTTGCTAATACTTACATTCCTCCTGTTCCGTGCTACATTCAGAGTTTGGTTGATCTGGGTTCGCTACCGGCAGGAAGAGTTCAAAATTATTCTGGAATTGGAAAAGTTTATAAAACCGAATCAAACCCCTTATTCAAGTATAGAATTGAAAGAAGACGTAATTCCCTACTGAATGAGTATAAGAATGAATATTTTTATGCATTTTTTCCATGAAATATAATTGAATTTTCAAGGGCATCGAAAATCAATGAGAAAAATGTATGCTACTTAGTTAGTAATTTTTTATAAAGTGCAGTTCCTGCATGCAGCCGAAAAGAAGTTTGTTTGAAAGCCGTCATCCTGAGATAACTGAATTATTATAGAATTATACTGCATGATGATTGGTTTTACAGCCATACTTAAGTAATCTTTTCGAAACGGAAACTCGTTTCGAAATTTCGGTTGACGTTTCATGAGTTAGCCCACCTACTGTATATTAACATCAGGCAAGTTAAATGCCACATTACCTGATGCTACCGAATGCGGATTTATATTTAGCGGCTGCTGAAACTCTGTTCCGGAAGGAATGCAAACCCTGGAGGCTCATGCTAGTGTCGAAGCCCAGTGGCGGTAGCTGCGGGGTACCATCCAGGTCACTGTAATGGAAGCCCTCGGCCACACATGCCGTCAGCACCAGAATCTGTTTTATGACAGTGATGGAGGAATCCGCACTCTCCTCGCCGGTAAACCTTATACACACCACCTACACCATAAACAGCATTAGCATCACCTAAAGCTTCATATTTCGGATGTTGACGGCTAGTAAAGTAGAGACTAGTGGAGAAAAAAAACGACTGGTTGACTCTCAAGGCTGATGATATCCACGGACAAGCCACCCTTGGTGAAATGAATAATTTCTTAGCGGCCGTCAAAACAAACTACGTTACACATGCCAAGGGGACTTTGTCACTGTTAAACGAGGATGCAGTAACCCTCTGAACGGAGAAGTCACAGACCCTGGAGCACTCAGTCCCTCACGCCCAAGGCATCCTCAACCACCACGAAGGAGCCATAAACCGACTTCCTCAAGTGGATATCAGTGACCTTCTCTCCTTTGAGACAATCAGAACAGTGAGACATCCGTTTAGAGGATAAGTACCGAGAGCGGGCACACTTCCAGCCGATGTCTACTAGTGCAGCAACCCACAACTCATGGAAGAACCTACCTCGCTAGTTCGCTAGTTTTATGGGACCCCGACGGGTCTTTAATGAAAAATTATCTATCTATCTATTTATCTGGATGTGGCGACACTGACACATCCCAAAAACTTCGAGGATGTTACTATCGTACATATTTACGAAGCAAGGGGACCGTTAACTCTGGAACAAGCACGGGAGTATTTTTCTTCTCACCATCGCAGGAAAAGTATTTGCCTGTTTCCTGTCCATTCGCCTAAACGCGCATCAGGAACAGGGAAATCTTCTGGAAATACAGTATGTGTTTCGAAGGCACTGCGGAACCAGAGGCATGAACTTTACGATCGTCAACTGCATAGAAAGTCCCAGGAAACAAGAACCAACCTTTTCACAACCTCCGACAAAGGAATCACGATGGATCCTGCGGAGTCATTCAGAAATTGTTGAACGAAAACACGACGGGATGATGGCGCTCGTCACGACTACGGCGCAATCTCTGGAGCATTTTTTGTTACTACTTTAGCTATATTAGGGTCGCGTTCTCGTTATCACCTAGCTAAGCCTCATGTTCTCAGCCCCGCTGATGGAGGTCTACCGGGAGATGCGGTCGGGGAGTGATATCAACTACCTAACTGATGGAAAACTGCTCAGCTGATCCCAGTATCACACCTCGCCTGTGGGCTCACAAAGCACGTCTTATTCAAACTGTATACTTGAGGAAAACCTATTTTTCGATTTTAAGAAGCCTTTTCAGTTTACTAGTTATTTTAAAACTAACCTGCCATTGCACTACTGTTCAGAGCTTCCAAGCTACGAGCTGCATATTTTCCCTGGGCAAGACTTGGACACGTGGCCCAGCTGGGAAATGGAAAACCTAGGCGCGTCCAATATTGGGACTGTAGTAATGGAGGCTTTACAGTGGAGCTGCCGAAAAAACAGTGAAGAATGGGCGAAACCTAAGGAAAAAACGCAGGTACTATAGGCACGTAAGCTAGTTTGTTCCAATGGGTATAAAATGGCAGCATAAGAACCGCGTAATACAAAAAATCAGCACCGATGGCCAATTCCACGAAGAACAATGAGGACTGGCCCGACAAGTTCAATTAAATTGGATCGCCCAAGAGCGTGATCACTCAAAAGTAAGGCGTAGATGAAAGTTGCAGAAACTTGGTGCCGAATGACTCCCTAATCATAAACACTAACACTAAACCCTGAGCCCAACCTTCAATCCTTAACCCTGAACCTCAATCCTAACCCTTAATACTTAAATCCGGTCAGTAAAACTCGAACCCTAACGTAATTGTAAATAATAATCGCAGCAGTCCGCGAAGCACCTCGACAGTATCCACAGGTGGTACGACGCCTGCCGAAGTCAATAAAAGTACAAAAGTGGTAATTGGCTGATCAAATCGGACAGTGTCTCCGTGCCCCACCCTCCCCGTAAGAAAGATCCCAAGAAATAACAAGAAGACGTAATATGGGGCTAGCAAAATGTTGCAATGGGCGTGGGTCATGTTGTACACTTTATGAGCGCCACTAACAAATGGACGGATACGATACTTTTTGGTTAAACATTTAACGGTCTTAAAAATTTCATAATTAGAAACTTTTACAAGTGAACAACATCCTTTCTTTAAGTATAAAATTCGAAGAAGTAATTTGCCACCAGCCGAGCCTAAAAAAATTATTTTTGCAAGTTTTCTATGAAACATATTTGAATGTATAAGGACATCGAAAATCGATGGTAAAAACTCACGTCACTTTTACGGAGTACAGTTCTGGCAAACGGTAGGGAAGGAGCTCGTTCAAGATCAGCCATCCTGACATGACTGACTACGAGATAATTAGCCTTACGACACTACTTGAGTGCGCTTTCCTAATTGAGGATAAATTTCTGAATTTCGATGGATATTTCATGAGATAGCACATCTATTGTAAATCCTCCGGTGATATATAAACTCCCTCCTCACCACGTCCCACGCCCCGAACAGTCATATCTCTAGGCAGAATGGCATTACCGACAAAGGTAAGGGAGACTGGAATGGCCATTTCTGGCTCATTAGCCGTCGTCGGTCAGTCATACCCAATCCCGAAATGTGGAACACCTGCGACTCGAACTCGCGACCTACTGGTTAGAAGTCCACCGCCTCTAATTACTGAGCCACGGGCTCGTCGTCCTG